TTTTTTTAAGCCTATTTTCCATAATTACTATAGTATATTTGAAAACCTTACTTATTGAAGGACGAAATATCGAGATTGGCAATTTATTTTCATTTTTTGATATTACATTTTCTGTTAGCGCTTTAGTGAAAGTGTATGTATTTGGCCAATCTACCGAAACGCTATATTTTCACGGAATATGCAAATTAAAAAACTTGGAAAAAATTGTAATAGAAAAAAAGGATAAATAAATATTTACTTTTGTGTATTTTCATCTCGTTTAATTAATTTTTTTAATTCTTTGGCTGATATTGAAACTGGATAGAATTATATTTAATACTATTTAAATAAAAATTAATACTACTACTTTTATATTTTAAATACTTATAAAAAAAAATTTTGCTTATGTATTTCTTATATTTTTCATTTGCTATTGTAACAATATATCAGGAGCCTTGTATTAAATTTTACACTTTTTGGCCCAACAGATAAAACTTTATTGATATTTATAGAAAAAAAACTAAAGAAATTGAAAACTGAAAATTTCCGTAAATAGCTCAAAAAGAGTCAAAATATTTTCAAAATAGTATGGTGTATAGGAAATGCTAATATAAATATTCAGGGAAATTTTCATGTATCTACAGTTATTCGTTTTTGAATTACGACAAAATAAGGAAATCGCTACATGAGAAATCGAGTGTAAATAATAATTAAAAATAATTATTATTATATAATATTAATAATAATTATTATATAATCAGAACAAAATAACTAGGTTTTTTAATATGTAATTTCGTCCAAATTTGAACATAAAATGACTATAAAAATAAACAGTGATTGTATATTTTTTAGATTTTTCGGTAAGAGAATTAACTACTTACGTGGAATCTTGTTTTAAATTTTCAATCCTTAGCTATAAAAACTGAACATTTTATAATTTATTAATTACGATGATTAATAATTTTCGAGATTTTGAAAAATTCTGTCAAAATTCGATGTTTAAATGCTTATAAAAAAAAATTTGCCTATGTGTTTTTAATATTTTTCAACTGATATTGTAACAATATATCAGAAGCCTTGTACTAAATTTTTACACTTTTTGGCCCAACAGTTAAAATTGTATTGATATTTATAGAAAAAAAAACTAAAAAAATTGAAAACTGAAAATTTCCGTAAATAGCTCAAAAAGAGTCAAAATATTTTCAAAATAGTATGGTGTATAGGAAATGCTAATATAAATATTCAGGGAAATTTTCATGTATCTACAGTTATTCGTTTTTGAATTACGACAAAATAAGGAAATCGCTACATGAGAAATCGAGTGTAAATAATAATTAATAATAATTATTATTATATAATATTAATAATAATTATTATATAATCAGAACGAAATAACTAGGTTTTTTAATATGTAATTTCGTCCAAATTTGAACATAAAATGACTATAAAAATAAACAGTGATTGTATATTTTTTAGATTTTTCGGTAAGAGAATTAACTACTTACGTGGAATCTTGTTTTAAATTTTCAATCCTTAGCTATAAAAACTGAACATTTTATAATTTATTAATTACGATGATTAATAATTTTCGAGATTTTGAAAAATTTTGTCAAAATTCGATGTTTAAATGCTTATAAAAAAAAATTTGCCTATGTGTTTTTAATATTTTTCAACTGATATTGTAACAATATATCAGAAGCCTTGTACTAAATTTTTACACTTTTTGGCCCAACAGTTAAAATTTTATTGATATTCATAGAAAAAAAACTAAAAAAATTGAAAAATGAAAATATCCGTAAACAGCTCAAAAAGAATCAAAATATTTTCAAAATTGTATGGTGTATAGGAAATGCTAAAAAAAAATTAAAAATGAAAATGTCCCTAAACAGTTCAAAATAAATCAAAATATTTTGAAAATGTTATCGTCTATAGAAAATGCAAATATAAACAACCAGTGAAAATTTCATGTATTTACGGTCATTTGTTTTAAAGTTACACCAAAAACCATATTCAATTTTCTGAAAAATCGATTTTGCGTAAAAATTCCCGTTTTTCCTTAATTTTTCTTTTGTTTTTCTTGGCGCTTTTGAAAAGTACTGGGAATTTTAAATTTTGACCTCCCCAATGCACCAACGATATTCACTTTTCAATCGAACAAGATACTGAAGTCGAAAATCGAAGCATTATTTCGACTACTTATCGTGTACACAGACACACAAAAAATAAAAAAATAAAAAAGCACACATCATTGTAAAATCAATATATTCATCGTTTCACTCAGAATCTAAAAGGGATAAATCTAGTTTAGGGGCCAAGCGATTTTTTCAATTTTTTTATGGAAACTTATGTATCTCATCGAGTTAAGAACGATGGTGCAATCAGAATTTGTCGCTCTCATTTAGTTCCGAAGTTATTTCCTTCCAAAGTTTTCGATTTTACGTTTATACGCATGCGCGCAACACTACTATAATGACGCGCGGAGGACCATTTTTGTTATTTTTTGGTACATACGTATTCGGTATACCTTTTTTTTTTGAAACTTATGTAGTTATGTATTATGTACCCTGTGACATACTTGAGGTGGTGTTGGCGGTGTTGCATAGCAAGTCGGGGGATATTTTCGATTTGCGGAGCGGAGCGACGGCGCCGAGGAGCGTAGCGACGAGTGCCGATACACGCGTAATGACTGCCCATATACTACGACATACATTACTTTTCCTGTAACTTTGAATTGCCATAACTTAAATTGCATCAAAAACTTAGGCTTACAAAAACACACATTTATAAAAAAAAAATTTTTTTAAAAAGTCGTTTTTGGTTATGTTAAAAATAACGATATCATAATATTTTTAAAAAAACGATTTTTTCCCCGGTTTTTTTGGTATAACTTCAAAAGTATATATATTATTCATTTACTTATTACCATCTATTTGGACACAACAAGATGGTTGCCTATCTAGGTACATCATATACATATACTTAAAAATATAATGTTCTCTGTTCAGAAGTACTTATAAGTTGCATATATTCAAATTTTACATTCTGGCATAGTAACTATTATTAAGAACTGTATTTGATCTGTATTTACTAATTACTACAAATATACTTGGCCAAATGATTTGGAGATAGATATTGGAATCACATAATTTTCTATCTTCCATTACATTTTCCAAACGAGAACAATGACAAATAAAAATGTTGTTTCCCATATACTATTTTAATAGTTGAGAGTGACTACAAAATGAATTAAGTATGTAAACATATTTTTTTACCGTTAAATAATTTGGTTATATTTATCCTTTTTTAATTTATTAGATAGTAAATACTCAACTACTCAAGTTAATTTCAAAGAAGATTAAAAATCAAGTCTGACAATCTGCATTCCAGAAAAAAACTTAATCCCAATAATATGTATAATAAACTAAAAATTTGTTAAATGAAAATAGTACATGCTAATGTCTTTTTTTTTAATTTTAACAAATATTATACAATTAAGTTAATTTAGCTAACAACATCAATCAATCATTGATACTTAAATGGGTGGTGAAATGTATGTGTCTAGAAAATTTAAAAAAAAAATCATAAATAAGGTACTCACCTTCGTTATTATACATGGTATTATTAAATATTTTATTTAAATAACTACTTTGTTATAATATTAGGTAGGTATTAGTCCTAATATTTATGTATCATAAAAATATTTGTATTTAAAATTATATTGTTTTAGTGTTTTGCAACTGAATAGTTCTTCTGTTTGATTGGTGTTGTTAGCTATTTATTACCACCTACGAAATCTAAGTTAAAATATTATTTGTCCCATTTTTAAATTTTACTGTATCTTTTTAAGTTAGGGGTTAAGTTGAGTTTGTTTCAATTTTTTTGAATATATGTTATGATCTTAACTCATATTTTGCATTACTGCATAACGAATATTTTGATCTAACTGTCCCTACAATAATATTGGTAGGTAAAATAGCGTATAACGTATCTAACAAATCACATGATTTGAAAGGAGTATTAATACCCTACTGGCGCCAGTGCTGGAATCGGGGCGGCCATAATAGTCAAGTGGCGGAAAGCGGCGTGCATGTCGTGGTGCTCGCCAGAAGAGAAAATGTATACTCAAAGTAAAGTAAACGCTATCGCTTATCATAGGTATCTTTAATAATAATATATCAATCGTCTGATCCAATCGTCACGGATATAACAGGATCGAGCAGGAGCAGATCTGTGGGAAAACGATCTAATCTCTGATTCGAGAAATAAATTCACAATTTTCTCCTTATCTTGCACAATCACTCCCATTTACTTTTTAACGTTATTTCGGCCATGAAGTTGGCAGACCCAATTTCTCTAAAACCAATCTAACCTATATCAACATTTAGCAAATAATTAGCAAGAATTAGCAAGTTAGGTTTTAAAATTTACTTAGACTTAAAAAGGTGAGTACTTACCTCAGATGAATGAAATATAGGTGGATACTTTTTACCTTTTTCTATAAGAGATTTTTTATATACCTACTTTTACTTGTAGGTAGGTACCTAATTAAAACCAAATTATGAAACACTTATTTATTTTATTTTTCATCAGGTAACAACCGCAATATTGTTTAATTAATATTAAAGTATTTCGGTATAAAAATATCTTTATTTATTTTAATTTTTCAGTATAAAATAAAGTAGGTAAGTAGTACAAATTTTTAATAATATATTTAAATGTGACACTACACAGTTATATAAAGACTGATATCTAATTATTGTGTATAATATCCATGATTACGCTCCTTGAAATAAATAAATATAGAAGTCTTCAAAAAATAATACCATTTTAAAAAATTATTTATAAATTATATTATACTCTTATTTTAAATAAAATAAAAATTGGAGTTCCGTAGGAAGTCCTCTACTACGAGGCCTGAGAATTATTCCCGTGAAGTCAAATTTGTCAAGTTTTAAATAAAAACAAATTACCATTATTATTTATTATCTTATTAGTATCTAAATCTAATAAGCCTGTATAGGTTACGTCATAAACTTCCAATATACTTGGAATACGGTACATATAATAAGAAAAATACACAACAGATGCAACCAAAATAACCTGTAACCAATAAAAGAAATAATATTATACTCATATTATAATCGAACATCCAAAATTTAAAATCTTATACATACTTTCGATTTTTTGACAATGCTCTCGTCATGTTACTTAAGTCTTCGTGTAAAATGTGTTTCCTAATCCCGTAGATGGTACATTTTATGTATGATTTCCAATCGAACTCTTCGAAACCGAACCAAAATGTCTTGCGGTCCTCTTGACTTAGTGACGACCATAATTCTCGAGTATTGCTGTTGTCGAATTTCCATTCACTCGTTGTAAAATTTTTAAGCAAATCATTCATATTTTCTACTCTTTCATAAATTTTCAGCATTCTAAATGAACATATAAAATCAAAATAAAGATTTTACATATCTACCAATATTAACATTTTTGGTTTATCTGGTATAGTTTTATATATTGTAAAATACAGTTATGATACTGTAATGGTTTAAATGAATAAGCCTGTGGGTAATAAATCCGACCAAAATGAAATCTTCAGAACCCAGAGTTCTTGAACTTAGAATAAGTGACCAGTTAACAATCACGATTTTGTATTAGAAATAGACAAGAAAATATTGAATAATTTTTTTTTTATTATTATTAATTTTTAAGGCATCGACTGCGATGGTATTAGGTAGCATTACATTTATTTTTTACATTGGAAACAATAGACTAAATGAAGACTTTGGGGCAACAACGAGATATGTCCATGTTTTGGTCAAAATCACTTTTTCCCGTCGTAAAATATAAAAAAAAAATCTGCATCGATTGGTGTAACAATGAGACATGTCCGACTGTTATATATGGAGTTATAATATGTCTTGTTGTTGTGTTGGTGCAACAACAAGATATGTCCAGAAAAATACATATTAAATAAAAATTTAATTTTGGTGCAACAACAAGATATGTCCAAAAAAAATTTAAATACTGTGCAACAACGAGGCATGTCCAAGCAAATTTGCATTACGGTGCAACAATAAGATATGTCCAAACAAGTTTTTATTGCTTCCTTAACTTACTATCAAAAGTTAAGCACTATCTACTAGTGCATATGTTGTATGTACCCTATAACTAAAATATACTATTTTTTAAAAAATTCTAAATTTTTTTTTTGGAATTTACAATGTTTTTTTTGTCTCTTGAACAATTGAAGACCTTGGAGCAACAACGAGACATGTCCTTTTTTTGAAATTGTTCAAGAGACAAAAAAAACATTGTAAATTCCAAAAAAAAAATTTAGAATTTTTTAAAAAATAGTATATTTTAGTTATAGGGTACATACAACATATGCACTAGTAGATAGTGCTTAACTTTTGATAGTAAGTTAAGGAAGCAATAAAAACTTGTTTGCACCGTAATGCAAATTTGCTTGGACATGCCTCGTTGTTGCACAGTATTTAAATTTTTTTTGGACATATCTTGTTGTTGCACCAAAATTAAATTTTTATTTAATATGTATTTTTCTGGACATATCTTGTTGTTGCACCAACACAACAACAAGACATATTATAACTCCATATATAACAGTCGGACATGTCTCATTGTTACACCAATCGATGCAGATTTTTTTTTTATATTTTACGACGGGAAAAAGTGATTTTGACCAAAACATGGACATGTCTCGTTGTTGCCCCAAAGTCTTCAATTTCAAAAAAAGGACATGTCTCGTTGTTGCTCCAAGGTCTTCAAATTTTCATAACATTACATTAAATTACCTAATTACTATATTATATTATTTGTACATTGTTATTTGTTTTCTTAGGTAATATTATCAAATAAGATGACAAAGTTCTGTGTCGTTGATGAAATGAATTCGTTTTTTGGACGTCTCGGGAGTGGGTTCAAGTATCCCATATGAGGTCTACAGTAGGCTCCTCTTTGATGTGTATTTAATTTAACTGGCGGCGTGTGAGGAGTTATGTGCTTGACCGTAACGAGTGTTCCCCAAGTAGGACATGAGGGTGGGACTTTTTTGGCCATGATGTGGCCGTGTGCCATGCGGTTACATCATTTTTTGTATGTTAATTCGACTTAAATACTAGTATTAATAACTATTAAAGACTAAAGAGGAGATATTGTTATATTATTACATATTAGGTACCTACACTACTTAGTACTTACTTAGGATTTTTGCCACGAATGATGAATGACAAATCAACAAGCGCTCCAGGTATCCGGTGTAAAAAAAATCTCAAAATATTAACTACCCATCGATTGGCTGAACATATAAAAAACATATACCACATCGATTCCAACGGTGGCACCTGTTGGTATGTTTCAAACGTGTATTCTATGATCTTGTCCCAACATATTGAGCTTTCTACACTAGACACGTAGTTATAAATTTTTGGTTCCTTATTTTTTTTGTCACCATCTCGATGTCTATCAACGAAAATAATACAGAATACAAATGATAATTACGCTGCATAAATAATGGTAAGTGTAATAAAACATATAATAAAATATAATACCCATACCTATTTACCGTATCCCACATTACACTAATCAGTGCATTGACAGTGTAGTCAACTGGGACAATATCAGTCATTTTCTCCTTGGACAGTTGAATTGTTCTTAAAACCCCGACGATTAAGGAAGCAATTATGCCAGATACTCCATTCATATTATCAACCCAACCTGGTTCTGGCTCAGATTTTGTGCACCCTACTACAATATATTATTTTTGATTACACTTCTTGGACAAAAAAAAAAATAAAACATAAATACAAAAGACAAACTTAAAGTTCGTTTTTGGTGTGTATCACTTACTATTATGTAATATTTTAATCAAACATAATTTTTTTAAGCCTATTTTCCATAATTACTATAGTATATTTGAAAACCTTACTTATTGAAGGACGAAATATCGAGATTGGCAATTTATTTTCATTTTTTGATATTACATTTTCTGTTAGCGCTTTAGTGAAAGTGTATGTATTTGGCCAATCTACCGAAACGCTATATTTTCACGGAATATGCAAATTAAAAAACTTGGAAAAAATTGTAATAGAAAAAAAGGATAAATAAATATTTACTTTTGTGTATTTTCATCTCGTTTAATTAATTTTTTTAATTCTTTGGCTGATATTGAAACTGGATAGAATTGTTCGTTGATTTCAGTTTTCGGGCAATGCGAATAAGCGGTTGATACATGAACGAAACCCTGAAAAAATTTTAAGTGAATAATAATTTTATAGCACTGAGTGCATTACATATTACAATATTCTCATTATATTATAAAACTCATGTTATCATTTATTTAACTATTTTTTTCAACATTTTCTAAGTTTTCTAAGAAATTGCATTATAATATCTCTAATTTAGTTTACTAATTTATCCTAATAACCCTGATATTAACTAAAGTTAATTAGTTTGAATCGTATCTTGAATTTACCAAAATTATAGTTTTGAAAAAGTTTTACTTTATATAAAATTAATGTTTACTGTTAAATAAGTACGCTGTATAAATATATAAAAATGAAAAACACATACTTTTAGATTCTGAGTGAAACAATGAATGTATTGATTTTACAATGATGTGTGTTTTTTTTTTTTTTTTTTTGTGTCTGTCATCACGTTTTGGGGCAGTAAAAGAGATTGGGTTTTCTTCAACAGTAGCTTTTCTGATAGGAAAGTGAATCTAGTTGGTACTTTGGGGGGTCAAAAGTAAAAATTTCCCAGTAGTTTTCACAAGCGCCGGGAAATACAACATAAAAATTAAGGAAAAACGGGAATTTTTACGAAAAATCGGTATTCCAAAAAATCGATTTTGGTTTTTGGTGTAACTCTAAAATAAATGAACGTAGGTATATACATGAAATTTTCACTGGTTGTTTATATTTGCATTTTATATACACGATAACATTTTCAAAATACTTTGATTTATTTTGAACTGTTAAGGGACATTTTCATTTTCCATTTTTTTTGAGTTTTTTTTCGAAAAATATCAAAAAAATTTTATTTGTTGGTTGCGAAAGCTTGAAAATTTAATAGAAGGCTCCTAGTATATTGTTTAAAAGGCAGATGAAAAATATTAAAAATCTTTAGTCACAATTTTTTTTATAAGCATTTAAAGTTCAAAAATTGACAAAATATGGAAAAATCACGAAAATTAGCAAATTATTTTGAGTTAAGAATTCGTAAAAATTTTATCACGCCCGTTTATAATTAATAAATAAATAAATAAATAAATAAATATGATCTTTGTTTTTATTTTTATTAAGTTTTGTTTTTTTTTTAATTAATGCTTTAATATTATTTGAAAATGTATATAATGTTTTATTTGTGGTAATACACTGCTATGGTAGGCATTAGGCAGGTATACCTACATGGTTATTATTATATTTTGTTTTATATGATCTTCATTTTTATATTTATGAAGTTTTGACTTGTTTTTGTTATTATTTTAGTATGATACATATTTAGGTTCTATAAGATATACATTATATTGATTATTGATATTTGATTAAATATGAACTATTGACTAATGTTTAATTAATTACATTTTTATAAAAAATTATCTTTATTTTTTGATTGCTAAGTTAATCATTAATTACTACAATATGTGTACCTACAATATTAATTGTATTTTGTAAATCATAATGTATTATTTTATAAAGAAAAATATATAAATGTATTTTTATATTTATAAACAATACATTATGATTTACATTGAAGATCAGTATATTAATCCATATTATATGAGCATTTTGCTTATGAGCGTTTGAAATTCAAATTTTTACAACATTGGATATTCACTCGATTTCTCATGTAGTGATTTCCTTATTTTGTTGTAATTCAAAAACGAATAACTGTAGATACATGAAAATTTCCCTGAATATTTATATTAGCATTTCCTGTACACCATACAATTTTGAAAATATTTTGACTCTTTTTGAGCTATTTACGGAAATTTTCAGTTTTCAATTTTTTTAGTTTTTTTTTCTATAAATATCAATAAAGTTTTATCTGTTGGGCCAAAAAGTTAAAAATTTAATACAAGGCTCCTGATATATTGTGACAATATCAGTTGAAAAATATTAAAAATACATAGGCACAGTTTTTTTTTATAAGCATTTAAAGATCGAATTTTGACAAAATTTATCAAAATCTGGAAAATTATCAATCATTGTAATTAATAAATTATAAAATGCTCAATTTTTATAGCTAAGGATTGCAAATTTAAAACAAAGGTTCTCATATATAGTTCATACTGTAACTAAAAAATCTAAAAAATATATGAACACAGTTATTTTTTACAGACATTTTAAATTCAAATTTGGACGAAATTTCTAAAGTGTACTTTAGAAATTTAGTTAGAGATTTATTTAATAGAGATTTATTTAAATTTAGTTAGAGATTTAGTTAGAAATTAACTTAAAGTTCTAACACTTCTAAAGTGTACTATTATATATCTATGATAGTATCACGGTTTTTGTTGATGTATAACGCGTTATAAGTAACTAATGGATATTGTGATATGATTAATTTGGAATTTATTATAGGTACCTATTATAGGTCAAATTTTGGTTTAGTACCATAGATAATAATATGTATATAATATGTCTTAAACCTAGACTGACATACCGTCTCCTCTCGGAATCGTTTTTCTTATACAATGATATTAATATATTATATCGTTGAATTCAAATTTAATATTATCCAGTATACAGTGACCCACTTGTAACCTACTGCAGTACAGCAGAGCGACACCCACTTGCCCACCTTTTTTATTAATTCATTTTAATTAAAAAAAAAAAAAATCATATTCAAAAGATCTTATGATAAATAATCAGTGATGAATTTCTATTACCTTAAGAGCATTCATTTTCGTTGCTAGTTCTAAAAGATTCTCTGTTCCTTGAATGTTTATCCTTAATGCTAGTGGAAGGGGTTCATTGAATTTGATTGTTGCAGCACAGTGAAAAACAAAATTCACATTTTCTATCAACCAATCATGATCTCTTGGTGATAAACCTAGTGAGGGTTGTTCCAAATCCCCATCAATAATTTTTATCTTAGTCATGAAGTCTGGCTTTTCAATTCGAAGGCGATCAAATATCTTAAAAACATACATAACATAATAGGTACTGTGGATAGATTACAACAATAAATTACAACATTACAACAAATATAAGAGTCGCACGATGAATTAAAAAACAATATTTTGTTAAATGCATCGTTTTTCATAAAAAAAAAACCTAATTTCAATTGTTATTTGTTACTAGTTATTAATATACACGAAGAATTTTTTTAAATATTTAAGCTAATAATTATTTTAAGCTATTGTTATAAAAAAATCATTTTATTTACTCAGTAAGTTGCAGTGGAATTGTCCTATGGGCTATGCATAAGTGCAATTAGGAGGTCCTGGGGGGAAGCCCTCCCAGGTATATCCATAGCCCCCTCCGGATTTTTAACCATATATTAATTTAAAATCTTAATTATCAGGGTTTGTGCTGCTGATACAATTAAATAATAGTATAAATATAGTTATACACTATTATACCCATTAAAATATCCTCAAAAATAGAAGCTGACACACCGTTTCTTCTCAAAATAATTGTTCGTATACAAATTTAATACAATCATTATCTAACACATCCATTACATTTGCTTACTCGATTATGACGGTGTATACCAGCTAGAATCTAATAAACAGCCATAAAAACTATTGTAGACTTAGTATTTACTAACAAATTTAAAAGGAACATTATTGTACTAAATTTTTAAGCATTTTGATCAAGCATACATTTTTTAGAGATATTTATGGAAAAAAACAATCAACATTTTAAAATATACATAAATAAATCAAAAACAGTAATAATTATTCAATGTATGAAAATGTATGTATGTAAAACAGTTATAGGTATAATAAGATTTTCGATTTAATTTGGATATGGTGAAATGTCTCAGAATTAATTATGTTACAAATTACAATATAATTATTGTATAAATAGTTTAAAAAATACTCCTACTAATTATTACATACGAGAGATCTACATTCGTAGATAATAATAAAGGCAGATGCCGTAGATATCTATACAATTTGAATATGTAATTTGATGAGTATTTAGTCATCAATAGGTTTATGCCAATATAGGTATTTAAAAATCTGTACCTACGACATAAAAAAAAATTTAATAGATGTTTAAATTATGGACTATGGTATTAGATAATAATTAAATAATATTACCATTAGTCTCGTTGTTGATGCATCGTTTTTTATATTATTTTAATAATTTATATCAATAGTAATTACATTTAGTTCAATAAATTATTATGGAGAGTTTCATAACAATTATTAATGAACCGATTACCGCCACTTAATCATGTTTAGAGGTCTATTACAGTAAAACTTCGGTCACCTCTATGTAACGGTCAATTTTTTTGGTTCCGTCGAGGGTTATCCTAGTGCTATCCTATACCTCTGTAGGACGGGCACCACTAAATAGCTGTCATTATTTACAGTCCCTTCGGTGACTCTATATGGAAGTTCTACTGTATTACTTTTTTTCTTTAAATATATTGTTTGTGTTAATTAGTTTTAATTATTTTAATTTATTATATTTTCAATGTACCTACTTATTATCTACCTACTTATTATATGTATATATGTTACGGGCAATGTGGAATACCGGGCAAAGTGTACATTGCCCGGTCAATGTATATCAAAGCAATAATAGATCTACAGCCAATTATACAGATCTCTCATTCTTCATTGAAATTTAATTTGTATAATCGTTGACCTTGTGTTATGAAAAATATTTCCCGAAGTGCTTTATTTTCGTTAACTATCAAAATATGCAATTAAAACTTAATTATTTGATCACAACCGTTGTGAAATATATATTGTGTACTTAGAACTTACTAAGTATGAGAAAAAGTTTACCTGAAAAAATCATGCAAATTCATGAAAGTCCTTGCTCTATAGAGCAAGAACTGGAGCATATTATACTTATTACTATAGTAATAAGTATAATAACCAGGGCTTTGCACCCGAATCATTAATTCGGGTTTCGGGTTTCGGGTGCTGGATATATTCGGGTGTTCAAACACCCGAATAAAAAGTTTAAACAAACATTCGGGTTTTCAAAACCACTATTATTCGGGTTAATATTGGTTAATACGGGTGCTCAGTAATCTGGAAAAAAACATAGCTTTTGATGACCCCCCCCCCCCAAATTTGCACGAATTTGCAACATTTGTTTTAGACCAAACTCGTATTAATGTACCTACAGTAGTTACATTTTTTTAAGAAACTACAAGAACTAAGGCGATGGGAAATTAATTAGTTACCTATTCATTTTATTGGATGCATTAGAGTCTATATCACTTATGAAAATCTATGTACCTTAACTCTTAAGGCTTAAATTCTTAACATACATTTTATAAGTTCCAAGTACCTACTCTATCTGTTTACTATTTTAAACATAGGTATTAAGCGTGAACCCAAACAACCAAACAAATACCTACATTATCTACTTACCAGAGCTGGAGCTCAATCAAGGGTATTTAAATACTATATTATTTTATATTGATTAGTTATTAGGTTCCTACTTCCTATAGATATAAGTTATACTTAAAACTGTTATTAAAATATAACACATCCTAACCTAACGCCACTGATCTAAAGTAATAACAACTATTAGGTAATATAAAATAAATTAAAATATAATATAATTTACTTAAAAATGTTACGATAAATTAATAATAACAGCAGTCAGCAACAAAAATTGACAATATTGGTTATACGATAGGTTCGTCGTATTGTGATACAAATTACAAACATAACAATTTACCACTAGCGAAGTCGACGGATATAATAAAATTTTTAAAATAGTTAGGCCATAGGGCCGTTGAGCCGTAGAGAAACAAAAGAATTCCGGAAAACTGGTAAATAATAAATTACAAAGTATTATTAATTATTAGTATTTGATATTTTGGTCACGACTGTCAATACGTTATTCAGTTCTGTTGAGACTATGTCTAAATTTATTATTTTATATTACTATAGGCTATATTTGGATTTATTTTATATACAAATAAAGTAATAAATCTATATTAGGTAAAATAAATATTTTAGTATTAGGCGATTAGGTCTTTAATCAGAATCAAATAAGGATTTCATTGGATTTTATTTTTAAGAAAATGATTATTGAATTACAACTAACTAAAGAATTGAACGCGCCACAAGAAATACATATAAAATGATATATCACATGAAGAGTTTGTAAAAATGAAATTATTCGGGTTTCGGGTTAACCCGAATGATTTATTCGGGTTTTGGTTAATACGGGTGTTTTGAAAATAGAATCATTCGGGTTATATGGGTTTCAGGTGTTTGAATTTTTAAGGGTGTTTAGGGGAGTTAGGGGTTCGGGTTAATTCGGGTGCAAAGCCCTGAATTAATAACTAATAATATTGATAATGCAACTCAGCATGAGTGTCTTAGACTCTTAGAGTATCAGATATAATAAGAATTTATGTGAATTTTGTTATCTAAAACTTTAATGATTATTAGATAGTGTAGTTTTTTGATAGGTAATGAATAGGTAATTACATTCAATTAATTATTTTCTTCACGATTAATACCCAGTCAAATTAAAATAAATCAATTACCTAAAATCATCTTACACAATGTATAATAATTTAACGGCTGAAATCAAAGTTAACTTACAGATTGATTGCAGATATCTGCTACCCTTTGACTTGAATCGAGTCCTTTCTTACTTCTAACAAGCAGTGCAATATTTTTCATTGAACAAGATCTGAGTAATTTTTCAATGAGTATTTTCCCCAAAAACCCTGTACTTCCGGTAACAAAAACGGTCCCATTCCTAAACGATTCAGCTATGCTTGCTTCCATTTTGTTTCGTTTTCTTTTAATTCTTTCGTCAACTTCTAAGATGTGTAGTCTGGTGAATTTGAACTTGAACTGGAATCAAAACAAGTGTGGAAAACCACTATTAGAACCGTTTTATTTGAATGGCATTATATAGTTATTTTAGTAGTTAGTATTCACAAAATAATCTTGTAGTTTGTTGGGAGTAATCCAGAGTTCGTTCAAAAGGGAAACATAATATATAGGTATATTTTATAACATAATATTATGTTATCCACAAAATTGTTAATTTATTATACATTTTATATCTTGCAATATACTATGTCCATAAAACTGAAAATCCCTCACCCCTCCCACCAGTGGCGTACACAGCTATTTTCAATGGGGGGGGGCTTACATATAAAAAATTATATACATATATATATTATATTATACATTGATAAATCAAAACGATGTACCTATGGTAATTATTTTGTACATAATGAGTAATCAACTCATTAGCAATGACTTAAGGAGAAATTAAAAATATTTTTACAATTCTCGATTATTATTTAAAAAATATATACCTATTACCTCAGGTAATTATTTAGTATAACTACAAAGCTACACGCGTACATAAAATATGTATATAATAATATATTATATACAATTCAATAAAAGATAGGTATATAGAGAAATTTATTTTTACCATATTAATCATTTTTTTGTACCTAGGTCCTAGGTTGCTAATATAATATATTAAATATTTAACTGGTTCCTCCGAGTTAATTGTATCACAAATTAGTGAGTTAGAAAAATATTCGTTTATTCTTTTCATTTTTATTGTTTTATAAAATATTTAAACAGTAAGTACGATTTACTAAATGTCCAAAGCGTCAGGAATTTGATTGAAAACTGAGAAATAGATTCTATACTATAGTATTAGCGATACTGCGATAGCTATTAAGGCATATTATATCGGATTACACGATTGTCGACCCTCATGTTTGTGTTTGAACGAATTTCCCAATAATTTCATTAATTTGTAACAAGTTATCAATAATATCTACAATATATTATAACAAACTGGGTTGCTTATAACTTATAAGTTATAATATAATGGAGTATAATTTGGAATATAATATTTTTTTAAATTGTCATCATTTTTATTATACATTTTTACGTTATTACGTAAACTGAAAAAATACTAAAGGGAGGGTTTGAACACCCAAACTCCCCCCCGTGTGTACGCCACTGCCTCCCACCATAAAAAAATACACAAAACTTATTAAAACGTATAAAATTGTATTCAATGTTATAACAATAATGTAAATTAATAATATGATTATTGGTTACCTATTACAACCTATATTCCTTTTTCGGTTTTATACTCAAAAAGTATTACCTTCTTTCTATTTTATCGATTTTATTATTTTGTTAGGTATACCTAATAGGTATTACTATATTATATATCAAAACCTGGGAGCTCCTTCGACGTTCCTTCAGTGGAAAAACGCGGCTCGGCTCACAAATCGGGTGGTTCCATTTTACTCCACATTATTTTAAACTGAAATTATGTCTATTTTAATAAAATATTTTAGGCAGTGTTGTAGTATTACCTTCCGTATTATAAAGATAGAGTGAAGGCTATAGGATCCAGGGCTTGCAAACGTTATTATAACGTTATATTTGACAAAAAAACGATTGAAATTTGTAAGCGTATTTATAACGGAAAACGATAATCAAAAATAATTAAATACAGCAAAACAAAACATAACTATTAACAAAATATAAAAATATATTATAATATATTTTTAAACAATACATAACGCAAAACGTAATTTATAGAATATCATTGACCGAAAAATAGAGCAAAACGAAATATTTTAAAATCTATTAATTTAAAAGGTCTATTGGTTTTGTATAAACATTTATTTCATGCGACAATCTAAGAATTGATTATAATCAGGACTCGGGACTTAAAGCACTTAAAAACATCATTATAAGCACTAAAATAAGCATTTAAAAAACTTAAATTTAAGCAAAAATATTTATTAAAAAAAAAAACAATAAAATAAAAAATAAAACTCTATCTTTATATTATAAAAAAAATTAAATTTCATTTTTAGGACTGAGGACTTTATGGAAAATAAAATGTTAACAATATTTACAAATAGTTGAAAAAAAATTAATTAAATCTTACCGTCATTATTGCATTGAATGATCAAATGTTTTCTGAGGTTTTATATAGGAATATAGAAATATTTGCAACGATGCCGCGGACGGCGACGGACTACGCGACAACGTAGATAAGATAAGAATTATTTTTAATTTTAATTCTATCAAAAACAACTTAGCAGTAGAAAATCATAAAAAAGTATAAAAACTGGTCAAAAAAGCAATAATTATCAGAAAAACTTGAAATAAGCATTTTTTTGAAAAATCACTGAAAAAAGTAAAAAAAAAAGCACTCTCAAATTTCATAATTGAATGTGTTGTAACATGACATACACTTCTATAGCACTCTGCTACAATTTAATAGAATCTATAAAAATAAGCAAATGCTTTAAGTCCCGAGCCCTGATTATAATATATTTTGTATCCGGGCCATTACCTACCCGAATTAGTTATTATTTTTAAATCTTATAGGTATTAACATTATTTTAAATAACGATAAACGCAAAACTTGGATAACGCTTTAATTCTGTATAATGATAAACGCCAAAATTGCTTAACATTTTAAGTAAAAACAAAAATTTGGACCGTATGAAGTTTAAATGAAGAATGGGTACATATTCAAGAGTAAAATAACGATTAGGTACTCGTCAAACGATTTTAATTTTTTTGATATCATTAATTAAAATACGATCAACCAAACAAGATACTTGCAATGTTCACCTTTTTGCCACATTTTTTATGAGCATTTTAAGTTAACATTTTGACAAAATTCATCAAAATCACGAAAAACTCCATATTTCTTGGTTGTTAAAAATATACTAAGTATTTAATTTTTATAGCTAAGACGTATTGAAAACTTAATAAAAATTTCTCATAAGTAAAAAAATATTACCAACAGTATTACTAATTACTATAATAGTAAAATACATTTCTATAGGTAGTAGCAATACATCATAAAATATATAGGTAGGTACTTACTATTAAAAATATTCGTTATCAAAATCGTTGGTTGATTACCTAGATAATATTATGTAATGACTGTGGATAGGAGATATAAATATTGACAAATTAGAAATAAACACGTCTCTTGCTATACTGAAAGCTATTTAAATGTATTATCGACTGATGGCTTTACTTCTGAAATCTGTACACATACTAGAAACAATTTAAAATTGTCATAAAAAATGTATTTAATAAAGTATTTATTTAACTTTTATGTTGATGGAGGGGAGGGGGGACGGATGGTAAAACATCGTTTTTCTTAGTAGGCAGGTACCAATTACGACTATGTTATATTTAGTATGTTTAATTAAATGTACAGCATAAATAATTTTCACAAGCACAACACAATTATAATCGACACGGCTTTGTCACATTCAACTAATTTATTCCTCACAATTCACAAACTGTTTGTACACGATATTAAAATTTAAAGGACATCGTGTTCTTACAAACGATTAACTATAACTCCACTGGCCACTGCTCACCAAAATACAAAATGCGAAATACTCACTTAAAAAATAATATTTCAAGGTTAAAGCCTTTTTTGTTCAAAATAATATGTTGTAGGAATATATTGCCATGTCGGGGTTTAATTTAAATACTTTATAAAATATCTAATGGTTTATAAAAAAATTCAAATCTATTTTCATTATATCATACATTAATTGTCATGACGAAATAACGCAAGGCAATATTTATAACAACATAACAATAATGAGAAAATAAATTATTCTCTAGATCTCTTGTCTTATACCTACTATTATAGAAGGAACATTGTGATTGGTATTTGGTAGTAGTTCCCGGCACTATTCCCGCTTTCAACGTAGCACTGATCGTGTTTTTGTTATTCAACAACATACAATACTTTTTGTTTTTATTATTTAAAACAATATGTTATTATTATCGTTTTTTTTATTCAATCACACATCTAAAATATAATATAGGTACCTACATCAGTATATCACCATATAATAGATTAAATATCACTGTTCAGATTTTTAATAATTACTGCAGTGTTGAGCATTATCTAGATAAATAATAAATTATATTTTATCTTATCTAAATTAATTGATTACTTATCTTTTTTTTTTTTTTATTATGGTTTCGAAGACTGGAGGAGGAACTATGGTGCCAGTACTTCTCCTCCAGATTAATTGATTATCTGATGAATTATCTTAGATGAATAATTGTGTTATCTAACAAAATTCATCTAGATAATTATGGGTACATATTTTTTTTTTTTTTTTTTTGAACCACTAAAACTAAGATATGGTATATTTTTATTTTGAAAAATAAACCATTGAATTTAAAATAATAATAATTTTCCGTAATTGCTTATTTACGTAATTTCTAATAATTCTATATGGCCCGATACGGTTAATTATACAATTATACGGACATACCGTCGTAATAGGTTGTGACTTGTGCAGACAATACAGTTATACACACACCCGTATTCAGACACAACTTCACAATAATGATATTATTTTTATTGGCTCACATAAACTATTAATATTTCCGTTCAATTCTTAATATTAAACATAAATAGATGATTATGGATTTATTGATTTCCTGAAATTGTTTATTGTATAATATATTAATAGGTCCCATATTATATTATATACTACAACTTACTGTATAGACATAATATAGCATAATATATATACCGTATATATCTACACGGTGGTAACCGTTGTATGTATTGACGTACAACTGTATATTAGAATTTATAAATAAATATAGTAATTTTGATTTGTTGATAATTATTTATAAATAAATAATAATACCCATTCCACTAAAGCAGTAATACATTGATATCAATAGTTTTCATAATATGAAAAGGGCCAGCCGAGTAAACGACGCCA